ATCAAGCAGAAAAAGGTGTGATTGTTTTTTTTACCATTGCGCACAGAAACGCCTAAAACCTGACTAAGTGTTTGTGTGACAAACCATTAGTCGCAATAATTTTGCATGTGTTAACTATTTTCATGTGTGTGCAGCAAAATTCAGTGAGGTGAGAACAGTTCCAGTGGTCTGAAGTCTCTGACCATGTGACTTAATTTTGACTATTCAAATGCAATAGAGCAATTTAGCACCTTTCCGTTGGTACTTCCTGTTTGCGTAGATGTTTGATGTCTGATGCAGTGAGTTTTCTGTTAAGTGTGTATTTAAATATCAGTTCTACAGTTTGGAGGCATTTTCCAAATTTCTCGTAATTGTTTATTTACACATACCTAAAAAAAAGTCTCGTTTTCTTAAAGGAAGACAATCTCCATCGCAAAGACTCAGATTATGAGTTCCATAGTGTTTAATAGGTATAAAAATCCTAGTGTATATTTTGATTCAAGTGCCTAGCATGGAGGCATAGCTTGTGCCTTCCAATGAAATGTAGATCTCATCTTCAATAATTCTAAAACAACAGAACAATTTCATTTCAGAAAGAATTACCACAGTTCATAAAATGAGCTTTGACAAATTTATTATTCTATCAGTTGACAAATTATATGTGTGAACTTCTTATACAACAAAATAAGAGCAATTGTGCCCCTAAATTACTTAATACTTGTTACTAAATTGAATTGCTCTCGATGCTTGGGGTAGTAATAATAATAGATGCAGTGCAAATCAAATATAAATCTAAATGATTTCCATTGTGACAGTGATTTTATTTATGAGATGTTACACTTTTCTTGCTGTGCAAAATCAATGTATATATTAGTTGTGAAGCTCTGTACATATACAGCAATTCTGAATTTGTATCTTTTATTTTTGCTCCGTATATTTGTAACAGAACTGCTTGTCTGAGAAATAAATTGATTTGTCCCATTGATTTTGTATTTTTTATTTGTGCTTTTTAGTTTGTACTTTGAACATAAGAGTAAAAAAGCAAATGTGACAGAAAAACAATAAAATGTAAAGGGAAAATGTTAAAATTTAATGGGCAGGTCAGGAACTGCACAATGTGCCATATACGTTTTGTTACAAACTATACCAATGAAATAATATTCATAAAAGAACAGGCCTAGATTTGAGCGACAAGTGTTTTGATAAACACAGATGACTTGCCAGCCACTCAAATTCTATACAGGAACTTGCCTTCACTGTCAAAAAACTCTTTTCCCTTCTGTTCCACTGGACTGGGCTTTTCCTTCAGTGTTTGTGCGATGTGCTCCAGTTCTTCCTCTGTCAGAATCACTCCATCCCATTCCTCCTCTAACTATATCACCCCTCATGTCCATTTCAGCTTTACAGTCAGGCTGCTCCTGTAAAGCAGGTGTCCCTTTCTGTTCAGCCGATAGCTGTGATGGTACTATGTTACCACTAGAGGACATGAGTCCAGTCTCAGCCTCCCTCACTGCAAGTGCTCCTGTACTCAGTGCTGTCAGGGCACCTGTGTTTCCAGAGAGGAGTATGGCTGGTGCTGCAGTCTTTGGCAGTCTGGTCTGTTCAGTTTTTCCATCTCTGAGAGACTGCGGCCCAGAACTAGTTAACACCTTCGAGTCCTGCTCCAGCTTTCGGACTGCCGATGGGGTGTATTTGCTGCGGAGGACTCTGAAAATGACATCAGGGCTTACAGAGAAACCCTCTGCTAATCTCTGCAGTGTCCATTCCTCTGGGGACTCCTGCTTTAAGTACCTGTAAAAAGAGACATGATTGCTCAGTGTATGGAAGGGCCGCAGATAACTACAATATTTTTGTCTAGACATGAGATATGCTATTAAATACAGCTAAATATATTATTTTATTATGTTATCATATACAGAAATGTACCGGATTGGAAATTATCTTACTTAAAGATTCATTTAAAGGATTGGCTAAGAAAAATTATATCAGGATTATATTACATTTTATTTTTTATATAAAAAATACAATCAAATCATTCAAAAGTTTGGGGTCAGTATGATTTTTTTCCCTTTAAAAAGAAATCAATGAACAGAAATTTTATTCAGCAAGGATGCATTAAATTGATCAAAAATGACAGTAAAGATATTTATATTATTATAAAAACTGGCCACAGCAAAAGATGAACACTGCAAAAATATTACATTATTAATTTACATATTATTAATCTGCAATCCAAATTACTTTTTCTAGGAATTAATTATCTAACATATTTAAATACTAAGATTTTGTGCTTAAGAAATATTAAAATTGCTAAAGTCCTCCAAGGTGATTTTTAATATAGTCACATGCATGTGATGCAGTCAAATGCTGGTTATAATGTAGAGTTATACAAAAATTCTTGACTGCTGTGTGATTGACCAATCAGAATCAAGTATTCCAGAGAGCTTTGTAATACATAGACATATTCACACTGATACCTTATCTGCTGAATAGCATCCCAGCTGAGTCTTCTCTCTGGAGCTTCAGGATTGTTCATTTTCCTCTTGATGATTTGAAACTTTGCTGCTTTACGCCTTTTCCTCTCTTCACTGCACAGGAAATAATGTTAATGGATGAAGACAGCAGTATTTGCTTTTGTGCTTCTGTACAAGGACTCACCTATTAATAGAGTTCAGTTTGGCTTCTACGGCATCCATATCATGGTCATCTTCAAACATGTCTTCCTGTTGTTTCTGTCTTGGATGTGAATCCGAATACCTCTGTGACATCCACCCGTACGCGTGTCGACTGGCATGGCGACAAACCTGGCAAGCAGCAGGTTCTGGGAATGAGGCCAGTTTGGTGGCCAACATGTGGGCCATTCTCCACGGTGTGCCCATTCTGTACAGTGACATCTGAAATTGCAAGTGAATCCAATATAAAAAAGGAGTATTTATCAAATAATATCTAGAATTCTATAATAAGAGTCTGAAGAAAAGTCTGAAGAAAAGAGTACACTGAAAGTACAGGATGTTTTTCCCCGCAATTTTGAGATTTTAGACTATTTTGCTTCCATAACTTAATCTTTCATACTAGTGGAAGGGAACATCCAAAATTCACATGAAGCGTTTATTTTATTATACTTCATCTATTTGCTTCTGTAAATTTAAATTACAATACTTATACAATATATTCTCAAAATACTTTTTTCTCATGCACTGATATTTTTTACTGGTTGTTGACAGTTTCTGATTTATAGAGTGATTAAAAGAAATGTCCAGAATCCCCTCTATAAGAACCTTTAGCAAAATAAAACAAGAATTTTGAACCTAGTTTTATCCAATGTTCAGATTTCTCTTCTGGAAATGTATCATGCATCATGTGCAAAAATAGCATTTCAGAAAACTTGCAATACAAAACAATTGTTTTAATGTATTGTGATTAATCAACTGGGAAAGTAAGGTAATATCTATAATTTACATTTTTTTAAACCCTATAAACACGTTATTTCATTAAATTAAATGATTTCACTACGTTATCTCTACGTTATTCTATCTCACTTATCAAATGTAAGCCAATTTGTTAAACAGAGTATTTGAATTTCATTAAATCTACGTCATTTCTACATCACTTATCAAATGTAAGCTAATTTATAAAATCGAGCGTTTTAATTTCCATATACAAAAGGTCAAATTTATTTATTTATTTTTATTTATTTAGTCATTTAGCAGACGCTTTTATCCAAAGCAACTTACAAATGAGGACAATAAAAGCAGTCAAAACTAACAAAAGAGCAACAATATATAAGTGCAAATGACAAGTCTCGGTTAGCCTAACACAGTACACGTAGCAAGGTGTATATATATATATATATATATACACACATTCACACACACACACACACATATACATACATATATATACACATATATATATACACACATACATATATATACACACATATACATACATATATTATACACAAACACAAGTAATGGAGTTCATCACTTAAACAGGCACTAATGTTCCATACAGAGCACAAAAAATACTAACCATCACAAAAATTGTTTTAGACAAAGTTTTCTGAATTTGCTAAAAATGGAAGAGTGCAGAAACATAACACATTAAATGTTTAACCGGTATTGCTTTAAAGCAGATGGAAATAATGTAGTTTTGTGATTGCGCATAAGTGCAGTGTCCCGTGAGAGTAACTCTACCGCTGAGCTAACACTGATGTGAATGCATGTGGCTTTGTACATTATATTGAGACGGAGGGAGGCGCCAGAACTGCAGCTGATAGAAGGTGCGCTGTAGCAGATACAACGATATTTCTTCAAAAGCAGATCGTGGAGACATTCAAAAATCGTCATATCGCACACCCCTAACTACCAAGTATAATCAATCTCACACACACAAACAAGCACAACGAAATCACTTCACACTATTAAGCGGCTGTGTTATGAACATGCAAAATTGTATCGCACCCGTGCTACAGTGGTAAATTTATTGATTGCACAGACCAGTTTTTTTTGTAGCACGTGCGACATATATGTCGCACTGTACAGCCCTGCATATATATACACACATACATATATATATATACACACACATATACACATACACATATATACATACATACATACATACTTAAATTTACCTTACTCTTTTTCATAACACGAACTTTGATCTTATACAACCATATAATGTCAAATACTATGTGAACACACTTTATAAACAATGCCTGTAAAACACTCACATGTCCCTCTTGCTCTTCTTTCACGATGACATTACACCGGAAGCATATGGTTTAGCCACGCATGCGCACCAGTCACTCGATTCTTTCCGACTCGGATCGTTCCTACTCGGTAAAACTCGGCTCCGTTCGCTGATCACATGCGTCAAGCCTGCCCCCTTTCTTCTCTGTGTGGCTCATTTTTCGCCATTTTGGCCGCACCACTGTGTTGATTGGGTTTTTGAGATCAGTAGTGGAGCCAATCAGAAGGGTATCGGACAAACGGAGAAACGGTAAAGGGTTGCGCTTGCTCCAAGGGAAATGGTAGCTGACAACACGGATTGGTTTGTCAGTGACCAACCAAATGACTAATTCTGAAAAATACCGAAATCAAATCGGTTAATGCGAGAGGGAGAGAGCGCGAGAGCAGACACTGGACATGAATGATACTGTTAGTGCAGTCCAAAACAAAGACAGACCTGCTAATGTTTGGGAAATGTGCGGCTGTTTTTTTGTGCTATTTAAAAAACAGGTTGAATTTTAGCCCATTGTAGTTACCTTGGTTTGCTCATAATAAGGAGTAACGTTAACGTTAAATGTTGTTTGCCAAACAGACCGCCTTGAAAGGGTTTGTGAAACGCTTCAAATCTGTAAATTCTTTAGATCTTCTTGTTAACTTTTCAGCCCTTTACTGTGTATCTGTAGCTAAAAAAAATAAAAAATCAGACATACCCTCAGTAGGTGATGTAATGTAATATGCTGTTCGTAATATTAAGCACATTCAACAAGGAAACATTCAGTCTCAAAATACACCTGGCTTCTGGCCCAAACCTGCAGCTAGGGACATCAGACTTCATTTGTTTTCTACTAGTTTTGGTAATACTGAATAATACGCAGGACATTCCTTGGACTTTAATTCTTTTTTTTAATGACAATTTAGGTGACGAAGGAAATATGGAGCAATATACAACTACAACCAGTGGGGATCAGATAGTGGTGCAAGCTGCCAATGGGCAAATCCAGCAGCAGGTAAGAGCCCATATAAACAGGTTGCTGTTTAATCAGATACCTTTAATATGAAAAAAAAAAAAAAACATGAGTGTGGTTCTTACTTGTTTTTCTGTGCATTTTTTTACTTATCTAAATTGTTCTGTATGTAGATATATATCAGGTGCACTAGTATTTTTAAAATAGCAGGAGAGTAATCTGCTTCAGGAAGTGGTTTCCAATTCAAGGAAAGGACTGGGTAAATAGTTCTTGTAGTCCCCTACAGCCTCTCTCCTTTGAAATGAACTTTCTCAGTCCTGATAAAAACAAGGTTTATGTGACACAAGTACACCCAGTGCATTTTGCATCATGCAAATGTGCGTCAGAAACAAAATATTACTTTTTCTTTGAGGTCTATATTATTTTTATTTATTTATTTTTTGTCAAAGGAGCTGATGAATTATTATTGTAGAACTGTTTGTCAAACAGATTTGCTTCAGGACCCAGATTTCAAACTGGACATCAAGTGAAGACTAAACTTTTTTTAAGTCAAAAGAAGCAAAATTGTCCCCATAAGTCAACATGAAATTATTGATGCTGCTTACTTTCTTAAAGCATGTTACTGGTCTTTGAACAATTTATTAGTACATGTTATTATTCTATTGAAAACTAATTCTGAATCAAAATTGTAGAACTCTTTTTTTTTTTCTCACTAACTTTATTTTTTCACTGAGAAGGTACACCAAGTGACATAAATTTGCCAAAATTTATAGTTGGAATGGACCTACACTTTTTTGGGGGGGGTTTAGAATCTAGAATATCAGTCTGAAATGGACAGCGTGAATTAGAGCAGTGTTTCCCAACCTTTTTTTAGTCGCGGCACCCTTTGGAAATTTTAACAAACTTGTGGCACCCTACAAAATTAATTTTGTCATAATATTTGAATTTCTAACTTCGATATGATAATTTGATAAGTATAGATATTCGGTACAACAGGGAAGAACTGCAGAATATAATGTCATACAGATTTTGTTATTATTATTAAAAAAAATTGTCCATCAATTGTGGCAATCAGTAGGCTAATTTCTAGAATGTCGGTGCATCTCTAATTATTGGCGACATCAGAAATTGATATTATATAATAGATGCTTTTTTGAACATTTTAGCAATTTAAAAATATTAAAAAAAGATTTTTTACACGGCACCCCGGTTGGGAAACACTGAATTAGAGGATTAGATTAGAAAGTATAAAATAAGGCAAACGTATATTAGTAATGCATTTCTGTAAGAGATGATGCAGAGCAAGGTGTGATGTGGGTTGTCCACAGGCTCAGGGCACCGTAACAGCAGTACAGCTGCAAACAGAAGCACCTGTCGCTACGGCTTCAGGCCAGCAAGTGCAGACGCTCCAGGTAGTTGTGTGAACTCCGACCTTCAGGCTTGTGATGTTGCATGCGTCATGTCACACTGTCTGTGAGGATGTGAGCTTGTCCAGCATGACTTGCTTTTACTTACAACAAATCGTGATCCGGATCATCCAGTGAGCTTTCTGCCATGTTCCATGTTGCCCGTGGAGTCAAAGCAACTGCTCAGGACACATTCGGAAAAGGGATTCACCTCTTTTAATGTGTCTGGAAAAGAAGGTCTTGTTAGGAGACAGTACTATAAGATCACTTGTGTTTGTCTTCAGTGTGTGTTGCATGTTATAACCACTTAATACTGATCAAACGCATCTGAGTTCACAGCACTGTATGGATTTTGATGAACTGCATGATTGTCCTTTGAGCGGATTCTCACTATGATCATGTTTAAGAATACAAACATGGAATGGAAATCTGTCTACCTCATCACAGCCAATTTATAGGGCCCTTATTAATTCATATTATTTATTATAAAGTAACCAGAAAAACATGGCTATTAAAATTGATTTTTCAGGTTCCATCATAAATGTTGCCATAAGTCTCGTGTAATGCCTAAAGCTGCATAGTGCAGATCTAATATTGTGTTGAATGTCTATTTCTGACCCTTTGGCCCCATGCTAACGTTCAGTGAGTGTATTTGTGCGCTCAGGTCCAGGGTCAGCCGCTGATGGTCCAGGTGAGTGGTGGGCAGCTGATTACATCCTCAGGTCAGCCCATCATGGTGCAGGCCATGTCTGGAGCTCAGGGCCAGACAATCATGCAGGTGCCCATGTCTGGAGCACAAGGCCTTCAGCAGGTAAGTGCAATTCTGCTCGTCAACACTCCTCAATGTGGGTAAAGCTACTTAAATATATCTATAGATTGTCCTATTATACTTAACAGTATAATCATCTAAATATCCCTCTGCTAATTTTATTATCAGTGCACATATTTTATGAAGCAATGGACAATGGTTTTAATTTTATTTTTACACTTACATAGTGGATATGATTTTCAGGGTCTGCATTTACAAACATATATTTGTTCTTGAATTCTTGACTTATTGAAATTCATATCTGATATGTTATTTCTGATTTGTGTATATGTAGATCCAGTTGGTTCAGCCGGGACATATTCAGTTGCAGGGTGGTCAAACTTTGCAGCTGCAGGGTCAGCAGGGTCAGACTCAGCAGATCATCATACAGCAGCCCCAGACTGCCATTACCGCAGGCCAGAATCAGGTCTCAAACGCACTCAATTCTCTTCTCTGTTTTAGTTGGACTATACTTGGACCTGGAAATATTATGGAAATTTCAGGCCTTGGAAAATGTTGCAAATTAATACAATTTTGGTTAAAATTATGTGGGAACCTTGTACCTATTTTTTTCCCCCCGATTCATATTATATCATACATTAATTAAGAGAATGTTGCCCTATTAACTATAATGACAAGAGTTTGTGCAGCCTATAAAGCAGATTTTATTACTTCACACAGATTTTGTTGTATAGAGTATAAATTAATTTGTGTTGTGTTTCACAGGGGCAGCAGATTACAGTTCATGGACAGCATGTTGCCCAAACAGCTGAAGGACAGACCATTGTATACCAGCCTGTGAACGCTGATGGCACAGTTCTGCAGCAGGGTATTTAAATACACACTATATCTACACCTGGTTTATCTTTCTTCTATTAATGTACATTAAATCTGATATGAACAACATAAAATGGGTGATCATTCAGGGTTTTAACAAGTGTGATTATTAGTGTTAGGCGATATGGTCATTTTTCAAATCATCATATCGCCAGCCTGTGAGATCACCGATACACGATATTATCGTGTGTGGGTGGGGGCAAGAGATAGACTCTCTGTACTTGTCATAGGCTATTTCATAACTATTTGGTGTTTTAAACCGCATGCGGGGGAGAGTGTGGAAGCACCACTAATCTAAATAATATACTTTCAAACATACTGATAAACTAACATATTAAATATACAATTATTTAAAACAGCTAGTTCATATATATATATATATATATATATATATATACAGTATCTCACAGAAGTGAGTACACCCCTCACATCTTTGTAAATATTTTATTATATCTTTTCATGTGACAACACTGAAGAAAT